TGTCTGAAGGTGCCCCCTTATACTTCTATGAAATATATTAATATTTAAGTAGACTAGCCTTTCACTAATAGGGCCCAATAAAACTGAGAATTTGCAAAAAAGTAAAATTTGGGGCCTAAATTTTGGCTCACATAAGCGAAACATCGATAGTAAATTAAAAGAGTGAATTTAACAGATAGAAAACCTATCCTATAGAAAATAGTAATTTGTGGGATCATTTAAAGGCATTTTACAAGATATACATATAATTCTTTTCCCTCTTCAGATTTCCTAAAGAGCACGTATTGGTTTATAAATTTGATAGGTGAGCCAGAAAGAAGTCTATATTTTAAATAGCAACCTGGAACAATGTTCAGTCGGAGAAAGGCCAACTCAGCTGTTTCCTTTCTTTTCCTTTCTCTTTCACTACCAAGTAATTTGTTTTTTATTTTTATTTTTATTGAGATTTATATCCTTAATATACTTTTTATTTTGAAATAATCAAGTACAAAGAATTATGTTGAGCCCAGCTGGTGCAGTTCAGGGGTTGAGAGTTGTCCTATGAACCAAGAGGTCATGGTTTGATTCCCTATCAGGGCATGTGCCTGAGTATCATGTTCCACCCCCCAGTGGGGTGTAGCTCAGGAGGCAGCTGATCAATGATTCTCTTTCATCATTGATATTTCTATCTTTCTCTCCCTTCCTTTTTGAAATCAATGAAAATATATATTTTTTTAAAGTAGTTACTTGTGGTAATAATGTTCATCTCAGCCTGCCAAAGTCTAAATTTAAATCACAGTACAGTAAACTTAATTACAAGATTGTATTAATTGGGTAGAGCCACTTATTATTTTATTTATTTTTTCATAAGGGAAATTATTTTTAAACTTACAGTGTAGACTATATCTACTAATAATTGTCTGGAGATATTTCTTTGGTATTTTATTTAGTGCAATTTTATGGATAAAATTTGGATTATTTTCAGGGGTGTGAAAACAAAATTTGCACACAAATCAACATTCTGTTTATCACCATAGAATACTAATATTTGTGTTTTATTATAATACAACCAAAATATACATTTAACAAATTTAATTACTTTAGATTACAAGACTACAGTTCTCTCAAAATAGCAAAACTATAAATTCAAAATTGATTGCTAAGCACTTACAATACCAGAATTAAATTATACAATAAAATGATAGATTCTTGCCCTTTTCCCAAAAAATGCATCTATTTAAAACTTACCATAAATACTTTATACTACAAAATATTTAAATGAGAGGTATAAGTCATGCACATGCTCCTGCCTGTGTACTGTCAATGTGTTTGGAATTTTAGATATTTTTTAACCTCACATATAAGCTAATTTATTTAACTACCGGTATTGTGGTTATCTGTTGGAAAAATATATCTTTCTATAAAAAACATTTTAAATATATCCCTTTTTTCTAAACTATCCATTCCCAGGAAGGTGAATCAATCCCAACATACTAAGAGAAATGTGACATTCTCAAAAAAAGCTATTTCAGTATTTAATTCCATTTGTATTAATGATATCTGTGAAATGTACAAATATATATATACAAGTATATATTTAAAGTATCAGTATTAAATTAATGTTTTTGTTCAGTTTTATATTTAGTGGACATCTAGATATTAAATTGTCCTTAGAATTTAATTTTGATAATGTTGAAAAGGAGACACTGCCCACTGTAAACTAATGTTTTCAGTTTAGACTGTATAATCCAGCAGGAACAAAACAATAGCACATGAAGAACCTAAATATATCATAGAACAAAGGCAAAATCCAAGAGTAAGATGATTTTGCAGGGAGCATATTGTAAATAAGCAATATTTAGTAAATAGATTGACGATGTTTTGTGTCAGTGATAGTTCTACTGTGTGGCTTTTGCATGTTTCTAAATTTCTCTGTGACTATTTTTTCTTCTCTTAATTTAGTTTGTTTTAAAAAATGTTTATTTAACAATGTGAACGTAATATTTAAAGCTCTTAGGGGGGAGGGAGGTTCTATATAAATTACTCAAGAATCCATATTTTGGAAAAATAAAACAAAAACAAAAAACTCTTTAAATTCTTAATAAACTGAGTGTAAATGAGTTTAGACAGGCAGGATTCCATGAAGCAGCATAGTCAGAATGAGATACAGGTGAGAAAAGGCAAATCAAAGACATATGTATTCAAAACAGGGGAGAAAAATATGAATCTAAGAAAAAACAGATGATTAAAGACCTCTCACAAAGAGCTGATTTTTTTCTAAGAAAATGTATTTTAAAATATTAACTATAATTTTATTTTTCATTATTTCAAAGAGAATTTGGTCAAATCTTCAGCGGTGAGAAAGTATTTATAACGTATCTTGTCTTACATTTAATATATTAACACTGTTCCTCAAATGTTCTAGGCAATTAAAAGGTTAAAAAATTAAATGAAATTTAGATGTCCTCTATTTATAAAAATACACATAAATCTTTGTCCATATGTTTTTATTATGACATTTTATTTTACTAATAATATTTCAAATGTATTTTAAGATTTTATTATAAATTAATAATTTTAGATCCATAGTAGCCAGAATATTAGCTGTAAATTAATATAGGTTTTGAAAATTTTGTCTGAATATCTATGATAAGAAAGAAATAATTAAAAAATGGCTTAGACATTCATATTTGAATGAAAACCAAATTTATTTTTGCAAGTCAATCCTAACACTTGAGCTTCATGTAATTTTTTTCAAAGCCATCCATAATCTGATTATTACTGTCTGACATACAGATATGTGAAAATCTTTAAAAAAATATAACATTCTCCCACTTATTTGCTTGGAACTCACTATGAATTCCTGAGACATGTTAGCCTAGCAAATCAATAGTTACCAACACTCTTGTTACGGTATTTAATTAGCACTCTGATCCTACTCCAACTCTTCTTATGCATTAATTTTTAAGAGTGATTTGTTCTGGTTTACTGTTTCTAAAACCTAAGTTTTAAATCCTTAAGTTTTCCTTATACAGACACATCTATAAATATTTGAGTTTCATATCCAAAGGGGTACTGAACCTCATACATCAGAGTGACTACTCTGAAAGGTAAGTGATGCAAATTAAATGAATGTAAGATAGAATGCTTTGAACATAAAGCCAGTCACAGACATGATACTGAACATGGCAGTCAGTTGCCCGCTAATCACATGGGTTCCCACAGGCTTTCCTTTCAAGACACACAGAAGGCATGAGAAACTGGCAATGTCTGCTATTTAGTTTTCTGAAAGGCTGCCTTCCGTTTGAGGAAGTGACTAATTTTTCATTTCACACTAAAAAGGCCATGAAAAGGCAAAACAGAGGAAGGCTAAGGGTTTTGTGTTGAAGGAAGAAAGGTGAGTGCTGCATAAAATGGGCAGAAAACATACCCTGCAGGCTCAGAGGTAAAGTCAAACTGGCGATATTTGAAAGTGCTAACAAAACACGAAGAATGTTTAGGTTGCAAGTTTGTGTTCTTTACATGCAGTAGGCTTATTTATTATTAAATTACTAAAACAATGCTATCTGAATTACAGCATATAATATCAGAAATGCAAAAAGATTTGTGGGGGAAAAAAAATGTCAAAGAGTTAACTTAACCCTTTCCGTTGTCAAAATGTTTGCATTTGTTCTGTTACTTAACAATATATCTCCTCACTCTCCACCACTCTTGTCTACCTAATTCTTTTTTCTAGGTATGTATATATCGTTCTTTTCTGTTCACTCAAATAAAGCCCCACAATCCAATATTCAAGAGAGTAAAGGCAGTAAATGAAAATAATTTATAGGTTATGATGAATTTTTAGAAAAAGTACTGAAATCCCCTTGGTTGTAAATAAATTTGTGCTCATTCTTTCCATGATCCTTTAGAAAATTTACTTTTCCTCGGCCTTTTGCTAGCAGGCTTTAAAAAAAAAAAAAAAAAATATATATATATATATATATATATATATATATATATATATAGTCTAGAGTTTTTTAGCAGATGTATTATAAATTGGCAGCTACTTATACTCTGGTGAATAAAACTACATTGCATTTCACCCACTTTATTTGTGACTGTTCTTCCTTTTTATGGGGCTATGAGTTTCCCCCAAAGTCAGAATTTATGGCTGTCTTTCCTTCTGTCTCTTAACAAATCCCATCTGCATGCCTCCCCGTTAGGATGCAGGGTACGTCATGATGTTTCCCTTACTTTATTTAAATGTTTTCCCATATCTTACTTAAATATGTACTAAGCATTCTGTCCCTGTAAAGCTCAGCATTTCATCTAAAATCACATAACCGAGCACCATCGTCTCGCCGTGAACCTGCTTCTCCAGGTCAGCCCTAAGGAATCCTGGAGGAACACTTACAGCCTTCAGTAAATCAGGGCTGCCGTGCACTAACTAATCCCCGTGGTCTGATAAAACCAATGCATCTCTCCCAATCCCTAAACCAAGCACCAAGAGTGAGTGGCTCATTGGGGAAGTTCCTGCTGCTACGTGAGTGGCCTGAACGTGTGTCTTCTTCCCTCCACTTCTTCCGGGAAAGTAGCTCGTCCTAGAGTGGAATGATGTGTCTGTTCCTAAGAACATAAAGCACAGCAGCATGGCCAGCCCTGAGCTACAGGGCCACGCATGGGAAATGAGGCACCTTAGTACAGGATCCCATGTGATGTGTGTGTGCTCAGCTCACTTATGTACATAGAACATCATCCATGGAACAACTCAGAACACAAACCATTTACAAACGCGAAGTCCCTATGTTTGCAGATAACTGCAGGTACAAGTTTAGTTCTTGGAAAACTGGGTCAGATGACTTATCTTGCTCTTCTTTGCCATATTCACCACACAATCTTACTTAGATTGGTTTTGTTTTGTTTTTTTGTGCCTTAACAAGACACTATGGAAGACTCTTAGGAGTTCTTATCAAGGATGTACACGCAGGAGACAGTATTTTTGCAGGGAAAGGACTCTTTTCTTTAAATTAAGCAGGAAGCTACGTGGCCACCGCCCTGGGCAGCCCCTCTCCGTGGTGGTGATGCCTCCGGTTCCGCTTCTTCTTCATCTCCTGCATGTGCTTCCACTTGGGGGCGCCCTTGTTGCGCTGCCGCCGCTTCTCCCGGTGCCACATCTGCTCGCAGTACTGGTCCAGGCTGAAGTTGGGGCTGCTGAGGATCTGGATGTAGTCTTTGTATCGCAGCCGCGATTCGGCCAGCAGGTCCTTGACCTGCCCCTCCTCGTGCTCGGCCCTCTGCGTGTTCTCCATCTGCTCGTGCTCAATGACGTTCAGGGTCAGCTTCACCACGGTGTGGATGAACGTGTGCTCCTGCGCTTTGCAGGAATACATCCCAGAGTCCTTCTTCTGCAGGCTCCGGATCAGTAGCCCGTAGTCTGTTTTGATGATCCTTTCATCGGGTTTCAACTGCAGGATCGGGGGGGAAAATGTAGGTAATAAATGAAAACCAGAGAGGCTAGGTGCACATGAAAACAGGCTACATAGTTCTACTTAGACGAACCTAAGATAGACTCCCTGTCTCTCTGTCATCAAGCATGATATCCTCAGCCATAGCCAAAGAGAGTGGGGGGGTGGGGGGGAGTTCAACTGAGGTAATAGCCCCGCAAAATGCATGTTTGCATCTAATGATGCCTAACTGAACCTTTGGAATATGGTGAGTTTTTCTCCCAGTCTACGGATAGGAGCAAAAAGCTGTAAAAAAAAAAAAAAAAAAAAAAAAGGAATAAAATAAAACTGGAAACTATCTATCAGCTGACCACCTACCCAGAGATTTCAGATGCCAAGTGGTGTTCTAAGAATTGCATAGCTGGAATGTGATATAGTCAGTCGTGTATAGAAACACATTAGTAGCTTTAGTGCATGCTACCACCTTTAATGTAGACTAGAACAATGATTTCAAAGGGAATGTACTCTGTTTTCCAGATATCACCAAATAAATGATCCGAATAGCATATGGAAACTGCACGTGGTGACTTGTTAAAAGTCAGTGGGAAGGCATGGACACAGCCTTTTGAATGGTAGAGCTCACCGTTAAGCAGAACCATATTCAGGATAGCAACATTTAAAGCTGAATTTCCCTCTTGACTCCACGTTGAATTTTGATCGTGTGCGTATATATGACACCTTAGACGATGCCATTTGTGGAAATATGTGCCATACTTCCATCTACTATAACATGGTAATGTGATTTCAAGTGTGAGAACGCTCAGGGAACAAAAGGAAGCCCCCTGAAACGCGATGCTCTTTACCCTTTGAAGGCGATACCACTGAAAGGCCATTCAAGCAGTTAGGCTGGCCTGGCCCACAATCTGGTGTGAAAAGCAAACCTATCTTCACTGAAACTAAAGGCATGTTTAGGACACAAGAGCCCTGTGTAATGCGGAGGTTGTGAAGTGGCCCGGCGTTCAGCAGAATCACAACAACAACAAAGGAGTCTGGAAGAGGTCCAGGTTACACATCTGCCCCTGCATTGGAGACTTTCCGATGATGGAAATCAAGGAGGCAGAAAGACGGCTAAATTAAATTTATTCACAGTGGGTGGACCACGCTCTGCATCTTTATGGGAAAAATATGGAGGAAAAATCCTTCCATTCTGGAAATATGAGAAAAGGAAAAAGAAACATCTCTGGCTGCCAGCCCAGCCAGCGAACAAGCCTATGGCCAACCACCTCCTGTGCCAGGGAAGTGCAGCTGGTGGGGTACCACACGAGGCCACAGGCAGGTCACAGAGCAGATCCCTGGTAAATGAGGCTGAATGGTCTCCAGCCCTGCCTTCGCTCTACACGGAAACCACCCCATCGGGGTTTTGTGTGTTTGTTCCCTTTACTTTGCCCATTTGGTGAGCTGGGTGTGTAGTGCTTTTTCTAAGGAATGTATTCTGAAGGACCGGACATTTTTTAATGCTATTGTAACACACACTAATCTTGAATTCACGTACATCCTCAGTAACCATAGGAGTCTTGTGCCCTAAAATAAATTAAATTGGAAGGGTTCTAAAAGGCCAGGTTGAAATAGAAAGATCAATCTCAAATTTAACATACCGGGTACACTAGAATTTTTTTTAATCTTAAATAATTTTACTGTATAAATGCTGTTTTAAAAAATTTAAATACACCTTAGAATACAAATACGGACTCCATAAGCCTAGGTTCTGGTTCCTAACTGCTAGGCTTCTGATGATAACTCATTTGTCTTCCTTGCGTGGTCTCCCATTTATCAAGTTGGTGACATAGCATATGGTGGTGTGTTTTTTTTGTTTTTTTTGGGGGGGAGGGGGAGGAGTTAAAAGTAAAGTTCTTTGAAGGTTAAAGTGTGAAGTATTAATAGCAACATTACATGTTGTTGGAGAAGTGACGTTCTGAAACCTTTATTTCTGTAACTCTTTTAAAAATGGCCTGTGGTTATTAGCATGACAATCAAAGCAGATAACTTTCCAGTTCAGCTCTAAATTTCTTTTCATAGCTGGTATTCTTGCTAACGTTTAAACTGTTTGATGTGGTTTTAAAGATTGTCACTGCTGCAACTCACTACTTTTTATTGTTCTCTTTAATATCCTGACAGGAAGAAATTACCACTTTGATTTCACACAAAGTATGCAACACTTTGTCATTGTTTTGCTGTTCTCTGCATCCTGTTTACATTGCTGTGCTCTGAAGTCTAGCTCCCTCCTTCCTTTCTTCCTTACTGCTTCTGCCCCTACAGCACTCAGAGTTTCTTAGACGCCTGGCATTTCATTACTCCATTGTGATCCTTTTTCACCTTTTCTTGCTTCCGTGAAATGCTTAGTTTTACTTTGATTTTTTACCTACAGATATAAACTTACTTAATAAGCCCTAGCTGGTTTGGCTCAGTGGATAGAGCACCAGTCTGCAAACTGAAGAGTCCCAGGTTTGATTCCAGTCAAGCAGTCAAGGCTTGGGTTGTGGGCTCAATCCCCAGTAGGGAGTGTTTAAGAGGCACCAATCAATGATTCTCTCTCATCATTGATGTTTCTGTGTCTCTTCTCCCTTCCTCTCTGAAATCAATAAAAATATATTAAAAATAAATTTTAGGCTTCCTGGATTTATCTAATGTCTATTAGATTGTGTGATTTTTTTTTCTAAAATTTCAAAATATGAAGTGGTATCTCTAACAAAATATATTTTGAATGCCATATTTTCATAGGACTTTTGCAATCTAGAGAGAGAAATCTGAGACCGAGAAATTAAGTGGTTGTTTAACATTTGCCTACTTTGCATTCTCAGTCACTATAATGCTTTCATTCCATGCTGGAACAGGATGCTGTATGCAGACTGTGAACTGTCAGCACAGTCAATTTAGAAGATTCAGCTCCTCTACAAAAAGATAATGTAATCTCCGGCCACTAATTTAAACTCGTGGAATTTTCTCCATTCTAAAGTGATAAGTAAAAACTGCTCAGCCTTACAAATCAAAACCATGCTTGAACTGGGGTTGACTGTCCATTTGCCTAATGTGAACAATGATAATATATTTGGCATTATTAAATGGAGATCTTCAATGAAGGGCAATTCATTTAAAATGAGAAGAGTCACATGGGAAGAGACAAAGGACACTTAGGTACTAAGCAGCAGGTAAAGGTCAGGGACTTCGTTCTCTGATAATAGCAGCCTAATGGCAATTCCTTGGCAGATAATTCACCTGTCATTCCCTTCAAAGCTAAAGCATCGCACACATCCTGCATGTGACTGGGGTTGCAGGAATATCTCCTTTCTTCAACAAACAGAAGAAAGACAGTTTAAAATAGTGCTGAGGCAACTGGCTCATAATTTAAAAGAAAAAAATTGAATGTATACATTCCTAACTCCTAGATTTATTTCATATATTTGAGTAAATGTAAATATGAGTTGTAATTTTAAAAATTAAATCATAAAATAATTATAAAATATGTATTTTCAGTTTCATCAAACAAGGGCTTTTTAAGCATAAGTGAGGAACATATAGATATAAACCAATTGATTTATATTGTGACAAATACATCTTTTGTATGTTAGAAACACAAAAACTTTCAGCAATACATAGTAAAAAGTTATTTCTAATATGCATAATATTAAAATGTTAATATCTAACATATATAAATGGCTGGATAAAATATTTTTTAAATAAATATATTGATGTAAACCAAGCAAATGTTAGGGCAATTTACCAGCTACAACTGAAGCCAATAGCCAAGAAACATGAGAAGGTAATTAACATCCAGTAATATTCAAAGAAATAGACATTAACACAATATAATATTTTTCCATATCAAAATGATTTTCTTAAACTATAATATAAAGTGTTGCCTCAGGAGGTCAGAAAAGCCACTGGTATGGTGGTTTCATTTGGAAATTGGCATTATACAGTGCTTTACCCCAAGCCATAAAGACAATTAATATTACTTTTTTATCTTACTTATTTTTCTCTTTAAGGGTTTGTCTGAAGAAAACAAAACAAAACAAAAAAAGTAGAGAAAGATTTAGATATAGGAAAGTTGCTTACTTTTTTTTTTAGATAAAACATGAGCTATTTAAATAAAACATGGAACATTCATGATGACTGTGACAACAGGACCGTGGGTGTACGGACAGAAAAAAATGTGGTATTAAAGTTGAATGACAAGGGAAACTGCTCACAATGTAATGGTTTAGTCAGGGGAGAAATACTGGAGTAGACATCAACATACAGTATTTGTGCTTATCCTATGCTTAGAGGCCTCATAGTTCTTTATATGTTACTATATTTTATAAAACCTTTGATATAACCTTTACGGTTCAAAGAACAAAATAAAACAAAGACCTACAAAGGGAAAAATGAAAACATTTGAAGACGCTTCATAAAATGTTTTTGAAATCCACAGAAAAAAGACTACTGCAAATGGCATGAGGTATTGCCTCTTCTATTCCTCGAGGACCCCAAAGTTCAACAGAAGCTTGGGGACTGCCGCTTCATACGCTCATTATAGCATAAACATCATCCGTTTCCAGCACAGCTTTACAGGAAAGTCAGCAGATAACTGACTCATGACCTTCCCAGCAGCACCCAACTGTGAAACAGCTCAGTGAGGAAATGTCCTCCCGTTGGCAGAGAAAAACCTGGTGACAGCCTCCGTGCCACAGGAGATCCCGGTCCCTCCCTCAGGCTTATGTTGAGGGGAGGAAAGATTCCAAACTGTGACCTCCCTGGGAAGGAGCAGAAGGTATCCTGCTGGGGAAAACGTTTCAAACCTAGTGTGGATCTGGCCCCTTTCCTCACTCAGGAAGCGGAATGGCAGAACCTGGACCAAGTGTGACTAGCTATTTACAAAGATAAATGAATATACCATTTGAAATATTACAGCTCAGATACTTTTAAGCAAAATTCAATAAATAGCCTATTTCTGCTCCATTGAAATTCATGGAGCATGGTACCACCATGACTGTATGATATACTGTTAAAAAGTAAACTAAAGTAATGCATAACATTTTCAGGAGGATGAGAGATGTGAATGCAAACATGCATAGTCAAATGTTAAGTGTATAACTGAAAAGAAATGATCAAACTTTATTAACTATAAAATTGAAAACACTGATTTGGGACATTTAAAAATAAAATATTGCAATGTATTTAATAGAAACTCAGTATGTTAAAACATTCAGATAACATTTCTATATATATTAGTATATATTGTTAATCCTCACATGAGAATATTTTCCCATTGGTTTTTAGAGAGTGTGGAAGGGAGGGGGAGAGACAGAGAGAGAGAAACATCAATGTGAGAGGGACACATCAATTGGTTGCCTCCCATATAGGTCCCGATCGAGCTTGCAATGGAGGTAAGTGCCCTTGACTGGAATCAAACCTGGGACCCTTCAGTCTGCACATTTATGCTCTATCCACTGACCCAAACCAGCCAGGACTTCCAATATTTCTTGGATAAAAAGTAAGTGCTTTATATATTGAAATGAACTTCCATGTCAGATAATATTTCAATATATACTGGTAAATGAGGATCCTTAAAATAAATATTTAGTATGGGTAGGCCATCATTTTAGAATTTATGAATGCCAGTAATAATGAAGAATCAAGTTTACATATGTAATACCTATATTAATAAAGAAAAAAAATCAAGTTTTACTGGGTCAATTTGACATAATAAGGATGAAGTTATTCCTTTGATATTAAATTGTTATGTCATTATTTTGATATAACATTGTATTCTTAAAGATCGATGAAGAGAATGACACTAACTTTAATACAGGGTGAGACAAAAGTAGGATTACCATGTGAGTACACTAAACAGAGTTTATTTTTGTGTTATTATTTATTAATTGTTGTATTACTTTCCATAAGGGCAACTGTAAACCTACTTTTGCTTCCCCCTGTATAATGGGGGGACATAGCTTTAAACAAATTTCTTTTTTTAAAAATATATTTTATTTATTTTTACAGAGAAGAAGAGAGAAGATAGAGTTAGAAACATTGATGAGAGAGAATCAATAATCAGCTGCCTCTTGCACACCCCTTACTGGGGATGTGCCCGCAACCACGGTACATGCCCTTGACCGGAATCGAACCTGGGACCTTTCAGTCAGCAGGCTGATGCTCTATCCACTGAGCCAAACCGGTTTTGGCTGAACCAATTTCTTATGATACAATTTGATTCTCCTATCCAAGGTTTCTTAACTCAGCATTGATACTGGGACCAGCTAATTCTTCATTGTGAGAGATTGTGCCTTGTGGGCTATTAGCACAGTCCTGGACCTCTGATCTCTACTACTAGCATCCTCCACCCTCCTATCCAGGTTGTGACAACCAAAATGTTGCCAAATGTGAGCACTCTAAGAGCAAAGTCTCCTGCAACTGACAACCACTGTTCCATACTAATACTTAGTTGGTTATATATACTATTTTAAATGTCTATAGTCTTATCCAGGAGGCTGCTATTTCAGAGAACATTTGGTCACCTCCATATATGACCGAGAAATGGAATGTTCGAGAAGTTACAACCTGCTCATAAATACTCAGCAGTCAAGCTGAACACATGACCAGCGCTATTTCCTGTTTTACACATCCTCCCTGAGAGTATCTGCAATTTTATATGCGTACTTTACACTTGAGTAATCCTCTGCTTTGAAATTCACATTCTTGTATGTATTTTTTCATTTTTATTTTCACAATAACTTTTGGATTTATTTTGTTATAAAATTCTGGCCCATGGGGGTTCAGTGATATGACCAAAGGAATTCTGAATCCTGTGCTCATTCCATTATTCATTACAGGGCCTTAGTTTTAATATTGGAATTTTAGAACTGTAAAGTGAGGGTCATCGGTTTTCTTTTAGGAACTGAAAGAATTCTGCCAATTAACCTTTGTTTCATGACATTCAAAAAATATTAATACAGGATTTCTCAGACTACCCAAACTCATCCCCTTAAATTGACATCTTTAGACCTCATAAAAATCTCGTGATATGTTTCAATCACACATGTGTTAGAATGACTGAACCGGAAAAAGTCAAAAGATGAACAGAACTTCCATATTGCTTTTCCCTCCATTGATTTAATTTTAATATACAAGAGTGAAAAACTACATATGTCCAGATACTTATCCAACTATTCATAAGATATATATATATATATATATATATATATATATATATATATATATATATATTTCATTTCTTTTTTATACATACTTGGTATGTATCATTTTATGATCTAAACTGAACACAATTTGAGCTAAAATTTAGTCCTTGTGCTACAGTGAGGGGAAATATTGTTCTTGGTCAGGGAATTGTTCTAAAATACAGACATTCTATGAGAAATAATTTTTTTTAACACACAAATTTCTTTTTAAACATTCAACCTTCTGTTAAATATATTTCTTTAATTTTTTAAATTAAATTGGGCTATTCTTATCTCAAAGGTGTTGCAGCCTTTGGTGTTAATGGGTGAAAGCTGTTATTTTCCTTTTTATCAAATAGCGACAAGAGCACCATATGGCACTAGCAATTGAACATCTCTCATAAACAGAACCTGATTTAAGTTTTATACTATTTTCCTCAAGGTGAGCTTTTTTGATGGCAATGACTTACCTCCTCTCGGTGTTCCTCTCCTGCCCGCTGGATATACCACTTAATAGATGCTTGTTGGGATTTAGGTATACATTCCAGAAAAGTTGAATTAAATTCAATGCCAAAAATCACCTTTTCATCAGCAGCTTCGTGAGTAATGCCTGGAAAGCAAACATGGAATAGGAGATTAACCTTGACCTGATTCTAAAAGCAATGGGAAAATAGACTAATTTAGAACAGATGCCATAGGGGAAAGATTCATGCACATTATTAAAGAGAAAGGAAATTCATGTTATAATATTATTACCTAAAAGTCAAATATTATCTAACAGATTGATTTTTAAAACTCTATCTCTTCCTTGAAATTTTCACTCTTACATCAATTTATTAACTATGTGCAATTGACATTTTAAAATAAGAATTCACCAGGTCTAACACTAAACATTGACTCTCTTTCTCTGAGCTGAAATGAATAAACTATTAACATCTTTTAATGTTTTAACACCTTTGAATTTGTATAAAATATAACCAATTTTGAAGACAGTTCTGGAAGAGCAATTTACTTTACCTTTAAAGAGAACTTCTATCATAAATTGGTCCACAAAGTTGAGCATATAACATTCAGGTATTTTGATATCAGAAAAGTAAGTACAGTGGTCTATATTTGATGCAATTCTATAATGATAATAAGCTAGAGGCTCCCATACTCAGAACCGGGACCTTATCTATATTACTTACCAAAATACAGGCTGGGGTAAAGGTAGGTTTCCAGTTGTGAGTACTTGAGACAGAGTTTATGCTTGTATTATTGTGTATTAAGTACTGTATTGCTTTCCATACAAACAACTGTATACCTACTTTGCCCCAGCCTGTATATTATTTTATTCAAAGAAGGATACTTTAGCCCAGAATGCATTTACTATTAGTTAATAGGATGCTAAAAGAGCAGTGTGTCAGACACCTTATTCCGTAAATTAGCTGCACTATCTGAAATACGTTCCATCCTGAGTAGCCAAAGGCTGTGTCCCATGTGTGATCTAAGATCTGTAGCTCAAATTTGATCAAATAAAAAATGACGGCTGCTCAGCCTGGCCCAAACATGCACTTTTTCATCGTCTGTTCAGATGTCTCAATTCTACAGATGGGCCTACTTAGCATTTTAGGCATAAACCAGAGTAAGGCTTAAGGGACATAAGTGAATCCTAAATCTATGCACAAAATTATGGGCAAATACCATGAATGTACATACACCCATTGGTCAGGCTTCGTTTCAAGAATCTTCTTTTGAACTTATTCGTGTTTCACCAGCCATGGTTAAGTGAAGCCTGCTGGCCCCATTATTAACTGTCTGTCTATAATCTAACCTTCAAAATGTGTGGATTCCATTTGGAATCTGTAATCCATCCACTATCTCTGCCAATTGAACATGTTATAACTACAATTTTCACAGATAATAAATTCCTAGTGCACAGAAAGATCACCAGGGCTGATCTGGAAGAGCAAGACATGTATCATTTCACAGTAACAGACACCGTTTTCCTGAGCAAAGGGAGTTCAGGATCAAAGCAGGCAGGATGCAGGTTGATTATTAGGTGATTGGCAAGGACTCAAGAGGAACTCAATTAGACAGATTCAACCAAAGAATTGTCTTTTAATAAAAGACAAATTAGAAAAATCAGCTAATAAAGTGGAATAGTGAGCAGACTGTATGAAATCCTTTTTCAAATCAGTAAAAACAGTGACCCTTGGACACAGAGTTGTTAATTTGACTGGAAATAATAATACAAGAAAAATAACTGGCTGCTTTTGACCCAAGCAGTTGGAACAGCGGTGCTATTTATTAATATGAGAAATTCTGCCAAACAGGTAAGTTTTGGAAAAGATAAGAATTATCTCACAGATATAATTTCAGATGATTTTAGGCATCTAAGAGGGGTTCTTGAGTAGGCATATCAGCTTACAAGACTGGCATACAAAGGAAGTTCAGAACTTGATTGTGAATTTGTGATTATGGTAGTATTGACATTGATGGTACTAGGGAGTGAATAGGCAGAGATTGAATATTCGGGGGGTGGGTTGAAAAAAGCTAAGAACACAAAAAGGTGCCCTGACCAGTGTGGCTCAGTTGGTTGGGTGTCACCCTGTGCACCATAACATTGCTGATTTGATTCCCAGTCAGGGCACATACCAGGGTTGCAGGCTGATTCAAATTACCAATGGTTTAAAAGCAGCGCACAAATTGTCTAAATAATCAACAATCTGTTCTCATGGGTCCATATGAACCAGAATAGCACTGCATGGAAGTCAAATAATGAAGGTGTTTTAAGAAAGGAGTTAGAGATTAAGTAAAAATGAAAACTAAAAATTAACCATTGGATTTGGCAAAGTAGATATTGCTGGTGACCTTGAAAACAAATGGATTGAGTCAAGTGACGATGGCAATGATGGCGATGATGATGATAAAAGCCTATGTGCAGTGGGTTATAGCAAGAATGGGATATGGTGAAGTGGAGACAATGATTGTAAGTGCCTTAGGCAGCAATTGTGTTTTATAACTCTTCATAAAATTTATCATCATCTGACAGAAAACACATATTATTTGTTTTTATGTTTATTGCCTATTAACTCCCCTAATACAAATTTGAATATAGGATCCATGAAAGCACAGATTTTCTTTTTGTGTTTTTATAATTGAATTTATTGGTATATAGGTTTCAAGTGTACAATTTTATGATACATCATCTGCACATTACATTGTGTGCAACCTGTTTTCTTTTTGTTTGCTGATATCTTTTACAATGTCTCTAATATTTCCTGATAAACCTCACATGCACACATGGAAAACTGTTCACCTAGCACCCAGTGATGATTTTCAAAGAAAACACTGGACATGACTGTGAGTCACGTACATGTCAGAATGAGAACTCATAATACAATTCCAGTCCCTAGCTTATTTTATCAGGAGAATGAAATTCTGAATTATAAATATTTGTTTTATTTTTAAATTATAGAAACACTGCTGGATCATAAGTAATAGAATACAAAATTTGGGTTGTTTATTCAGTTACAGGGTGGTTACTAACAACGTGATAAAGGGTAGGCAGTTCTTTTCTTCCTCTAGCTGTGCATATGTATGTGCGTATGCGTGTGCATGAGTACATGCACTTATACTTTCTATCTGATGGCAGAGCTTGACAGTGGAAGGTAACTAAAGCTCTAGAATATATCATTTTATAGATTTTTCTCTGCACACTTATTCAACAAATCACCTCTCTATCCTTCACTCTGTATTTATCATTTTCAGATATTCAACTTCCTATGAAATTTCCTCTGAACTATACAGCCTCTGGTGATCTCTCTTTTTGCTAAATTCCCTTATCACTAATTGTGTCTTATAACATCTCCCAAAAGAATTATAAGCTCTCTAAGGAGTGTCTTCATATCACAACCTACAACTGAGATAATTATTTGCACGTGCAAGTCACTAATAAGTATTTATTGATTAAACACCTGAATTAATAAGTGAATAAAAAATAATGCATAAGCTACCTAACACTCCTTTCTAATAAGTGCCTAGCCTCCCCTGCTATCAGACTTTTCTGGTAGGGTCTGACTCTTTTCTGAGTTTTCTCTAAATGTCCATATGTTTTGGACTATATCCTGTTTTATCTTTAATAGTAGTTCTCAAACTTTACAAGAATAGATAAGGCAGCAAAAAAGGGAAAAAATGTATAGAAATGTTAAAGGACATATGAAACAATGATATAACAAAGGATTATTCACTTAGGCTCATGGACAGGGTGTTGATTTATAAAATCTCCCACTGATTTCCCAGAATACAAGCATTTCACAAAACAAGATCTTCCTATATAATAGATGTTTTAAGTTATATAATGAAAAGACACACATAGACTAGGCTTAAAGTTTTAAATGAGAGAAGAGCATATTTAACCTATACTTACTCTCTTCTATGTCCCAGCACTGGGTGATTGGGTCTCCATACTTAACATCTTGGCGTCTAGCTCGCCTATGGAAAAGGGATGAAACTGTTTAGAACTTCAAACAAGATAATTAAAAATATAGAAAATTCACAGCTAACACTAATAACAGTGGCAGAAGCAGAACTATGCTTGTCTTACTGCCCAGCTTAAATGTAGGTCAATATTCCAATCACTCTAACATTGCTTCAACTAGTAGTAGTAGTAGTAGTAGTAGTAGTAGTAGTATCGATAGTAGTAGTAGTAGAGTCCTAATGGCATGAATCCTATTCAAGCAATGAGACAATGTGAATTTTACTAAACTACTACAGCGTTCTTTTTCTTTAAGATTTGACAACAAAATAGGTTAACTATAAATATAATCCAGGTTTTATATACATCAAATGGGAGTAATAATACCTACCCTTCCTTTTTTATCAGTCTTTTAAAACTTTATTATTTTAATAAGTATATAGTGATATTTTTGTGACTTTAATTTACTTTTCTTTAATGACTAGTAGTACTGAACATATTTTCATGTACTTATTGCCCATTCTTATTGCATTGCTTGTTATTTACTAAGTCTCTTTTTTCTTTTTTGTTTATTTTTTATTGATTATGGTATCACATAATTGTCCTCACCCCCCAATTCCCATCCCAAACCCCTCCCTACACATGCCCCCACCCCCCTGTTGTCCATGGCCACTGATTAGGCTTATATGTATGCACACAAGTCCTTTGGTTGATCTCCCTCCTTACCCCCACCCTCCCCTACCTTTCCTCTAAGGTTTGGCAGTCTGATTGATGCTTCTCTTTCTCTGAGTCTGTTTTTGTTCATCAGTTTATGTTGTTCATTATTTCCCCTAGATGTGTGAGATCATGTGATCCAAGAAATACCCTTGTAAGAACTGAAATTGAGACAAGCCATAATAGTTATTCTGAGAGGCAAATGAATCAGTCTGCAGTGAGTTCCTTTCTGGGCCAACAGTTCTTTTGAGTCCCAATTTCAATGTCAAACAGTTCTTTATCTGTACATGTCAGCTAAGATATTTCAGATCTGGTTGGTGGACAAATGGTGGTGATGTAAGTCCAAGTCCAACCATCTCTGGTTTGGTCCTGGGCATCCTTCAGTGGCACACAGCTGCTGTCATACCTACCTTCTTTTTAAGTCAGCCATGGGAAAGTATTAAGACATAAAGAACTTCAGTGGGTAGGAAAGTACACTTACATACAAAACTTATCATATGAAGATTCAGTCTTACATAGATCTGATTATGCAACAAGTCAAATACTGTCACTTGAAATAGAAGTATAAGCTTGATATGGTGTGAATGGCAAGATGTTATTTGTATCTGCTGATATATACTACATGTTTTCTGATAGTAGAGATGATGATGATGATAGTAATAATAAATAATGGTTTCTGGCATTATTGTTACATTTTCTTTAAGAGAAAATAGTGACTACTGTATAAAAAAAGAAAAATTTGCCGGGACCGGTTTGGCTCAGTGGTAGAGCGTCGGCCTGCGGACTGAAGGGTCCCGGGTTTGATTCCGGTCAAGGGCATGTACCGTGGCTGCGGGCACATCCCCAGTAGGGGGTGTGCAAGAGGCAGCTAATCGATGATTCTCTCTCATCGATGTTTCTGGCTCTCTATCCCTCTCTCCTCCTCTCTGTGGAAAATCAATAAAATATATATTTTTTTAAATTTGCTAAAGTTAAACAAGTGTTACATAATTACAATATATCTTTGCTTTGGCTGTTTTATATTGCCACTTCAGCTATCACAGAAGTCACAGCAAACCTTTGACGATATCTAAAGTATTCCTTAAGGGCAACGTTAACCCTGGGCAAGAGTCATCTATCATACACTCTTTTGGCTCCCGTGGACAATGTGCTGATAAGGGGGAACATCACAGCGGCATGTCTGCCAGTTACAGTGCAGTCTAGGGAAGGACCAGAAAACTTATGACAGTGTAAGGGACATAGGTCAAGAATGTTTTTAAATCTTGACTTCTTAAGCAACAGGGTCAATTCATCAAAATGAAGATTTATTACCAGCTAATGAGAATTCTTATGTTTTAGCTTGTAGAAAAGTTCCCCAAACACTCACTGTGTTGAGTATATTCTTGAACAAAAATCTATAATAAAATGTTGGTGAATTTTTACTTTCAATGTTGTAATAATCCCCACTCACACTTAATTCAGAGATTCCAAGGATTATAAAATTATTCCTAATTTTAGTCAGTATCTGCTATTATACTATATCTTCAGTCTGTGATCTCTGAAATTTGCATTTTGACAAATCAGTAACATTTGGAAAGAAAAAGTGCATAGGCAGTAGTGGAACTAACATAGCTCTCCTGTTATCTTATTTTGTTAATAAAACCTGAATATTTTTTTAAATAGCATATACCATATTCAATTCACTGAGTTTTTACCTAGAGGAAAATGTACTTTGACAATATTTTATAAAATAGTGCTACTACTATATTCCACATTAAAAAATATATATCATGATATATTTAGCCAGCTTCAGTCATACTGATGGGCAGTCAGAGTATTGCCTTTAATTTTGCTGTTGAAAATAATGCTGAAATGAATATCTCCGAATATATAACTTTTACACGTGTGTATAGCATAAACCCCTAGCTGGGAATTACTGACTCAAAATAGCATTGTTTTTAAGACACATAAAGCAATGAACTACAAATGGGAGGGTACATTTTGATGTTGAAGTATATCTTAGTGGCAGAAATTGGTCAAGTTAGAGTTAGTACTATAAAAGTAAAATTGTACCAAATCCTGGATATTCTAAGGATTGTATGTAACCCACACTTTTTCAAACATATATATCTACGCATGATATGCAAAACAATGAGTACATACACATTTAGAAATAGAAGGGAAAGAGGGAGGAGGTAGAAAGAGTAAAGGAATAGAGAGAAAAAATATTTTAATTGTGTTTAACATCAATGAAGAAAAATAATATAAACAATTTACCAAATTTTTGAAAATTCCACATTTCAGAATTTCACATTCTGTCTATGTCAAAATCTAGTGTTATGTTAAACTATAAAATAAAGAATTTTAATATTCCTACTGTAGACTATATTTTCTGTATAGTATTTTTTTTTCATCTAACCTATAAGACACGGTATCCATGTGAAATATTCATTGCATAGAAAGGAAGGCATCATATGAACTCCATGTACATCTTACCTTTTTGAAGTGGGTGTATATCGAGAGCATGAAGTTCCATCCCAGGCACAGTAGGGGTCTCTGGCGAGACAACAGTCTGCACAAGCTTTCCCATAAGTGTCACATCTATGCAGTGAGAGCTGAACCAATCCATCTCGGGAACCAATGTACAATTGTTGCTGCAAAAGCAGGCAAAACAAATGAATTAGCAGCATCTTTCCAACTAGTCTTAAGAACTTCCCTTTCTTGAATACCACATCACAGAACTAAATCTGTCTCCTAGGGTGTCCTGCCCATAATAAACACTTGTACAGACACATAACATAGAATAAGATAAGTCAATCACTCCTACTGCTGACAGGATGGTGATTTGAAGACCTTGGTACTAAAATGGACAGCATTCTATGGGGCAGGAGTAACCTTGGCAGTAATTGAAGAAGGTTAAAAACCAGCTGCTACACTGAGGAATTAAGATGTCAACTTCCTTCTCACTCGTTGAAAATATTCTTTGGTAGAGTATATCAAGCACACATACTATAGGCAATGCTGATGGTCTTCACCTGACACAGTTACTTTGGAAGAGATGACTGAAAAGAGACTTAGGAAACTTTCCTGTGGTTTTAACTAACCTTTTCATTTGCCAAGGAAGTACATACTGACCCCTGAAGGAAAATGGGTTATAAGTGGGAGAAAAGGTATTTAGAATAACTACGAAGAAAATATTAAGGAGGCTTGAGGGATATCTTATCACAAATAAAAGGCTGTAGGATACTGAAAAACCAAGCAAATAGAGTTACATGTTGAGAAGAAGTTCTGAAAATAATGCATGGCGTCCTATATGTATTCACTTGAGTGTAGTGGTGGTGGGGAAGTGGGGGTTGGGGGAGTTGGTATAAGAGAATGAGCCATAGTCTGTGCCTTCAAGAACTCATAGCCAACTCAGGGGACCATGTGAAACTCTATGTGAAGAAAAATAATCTGACAAAATAGATATCAGCACAAATAACATACATGTACTCAACCTACAGAAATTGCTTACCTATTAAACTGTCAATTGAGACTTCCTGGTGACTAAATACAATGTACATTTTTTAGTCTTTGTTTTACTTCAATTCTCCATAGTGTTTGACATTAAAGACTTGAAACCCTCTACTTTTTTTCTGATTCTTCGTCTTTATTTCTGCCTGACTTCTGTTTCCTTTAATGATTCTTTGCTTTGCTTTAATTGTTGGGTTTCTCTGTTTTCTGTTCTCATTCCTTTATCCTTATTACACAAAGGCTAGAGGTATCTTGAAAACAAAAATGTAGACACACTGATTTCCCTAAATCTACACTTTGGCAAGAGGCACCATCTTTAGCCACCCAAGATGCAAATCTGGGAGTTGTCTTTAATCATCTTTCTCTCTCCTTCAAGCTGTCACCTTATCTTTTCCTTCTCTCATATAGAACTCTCTAATCCATTTCCTCTTCTCCCTCTTCAGCGCCACTGTCTGTCTCAGTTCTTATCATTTCTTTCCTGGATTACTTGTAAGTGTCCTAATATTTCCACTGGCTTCAGCCTTGTTTTCCCACAACCCCCACTTCTAACCCAAAGGTCAATCAATCCATCTTAAGCACTATCATACCAGACTGGTCTTTCTTTCTCTCCCTCTTTTCCTTCCTTTGCTTGCTTCCTTCCTTCCTTCCTTCCTTTTTTTCCTTCCTTCTTTCCTTCCTTCTTACCTTTCTAAAAGGAAAATCTTATCACCACACCCTTTAATATAGAACATATCATGTGGCTTTTTTAAACTTTAGGGATATATTTAAAAATAGGAATGCAAGTCTTAATCTCTTTGATCAACTGGGACTTGGCATATCATATGTGCGAACTATGAAGTCTTATTAAATAGTATTATTATTATTAGCTACCACTTACTTCACACTTAAAATGCACCAGCTCTCAGTTCACAAGTGTACATTTGACATTCTATTTATTAGGAGGTGGCTATTATTTTTCTAACTTTGCTGTTGAGGAAATTGATGGTGGGAGTCAGATATTAAATGATAGGCAGGAGGTTAACTGTTGGGTTATTTGCCACCAGAGTTCAGAGTCCACCTCCTAGACTTCCTGATTAGAAACCATTTTTAATGATTAGGGCTAGTGTTCTACATGAATGACTTTATGGCCTTGACAGAAAGAGAGTTCAATTTTCAAGAGCCACAGGAAGGGGAGAATATATTACTCAATGAGTGAAATTTAGTTTCATTTATCCTAAGGCAAGACTGAAGCAATAGTCTTTAATCAGTTATAAAACAAACACATAATCTAAAGGGTTTTTTTTTCTATTATTTATAATTTAGCTTTAAATTTCAATGAATTTTCTCTAAAAATAAACTTCAGTGCAATCACTCTGTTGCTTTGTGGTTAATTTTTACACAAAAATTAAGAAAATACCTGTTTCAAAGACAACTCCATGTTCAAGATGATTGATGAGTGCTGTAAAAGAAATCAAATATTAAATGATCATTAAGAATCTTTTATAGTAGCCAGTAAGTTGTTTTGTCTTATACCAAAGATCAGTGAAGTAAACTTCAAGACTCTGTTATATATGGAAGGAAAGGATCTTAATGTTTGCTACTTCCTCCCAATGGGTAGTAATTCTACCTTCAATATTTTTTTTCAAAACAGTTATTTTAAAGCATTTTATTAAAGAATAATCACCTAACTGTATAAGAAACACTACATTGAAAATCATCCCCAGGTACCCAAAAGGTTTCTCCTTCTTCTGCTTATCTTAACTGCTTCCATGTAATTCAAACTAGTGTTGACAAGAACATCTCCATAATTATTTATTACCTTTTTCTGCTCTTACTTAGATCAGTAGTTGAAAAACTGTGTTCAAGTAGCAGAGTTCTGAAGAGTTATAGTGCTCCTTGTGGATGATCACATTCTTTACGGAACTCTGCAAAACGCTCATGCACATGATACCTTGATATAAACTAGGGCCAGTTTTGTAGAAAAGATGGCTCTGTGCATGCAGTATAAAATCAGACACCTGAACACAAAAAGTTTCCAAACTAAAAGAGATGAAATGTTCTAAATATTTTCATCTACCTGTTCATCTAAATTCATTTATTTATCACCAGTCAATATTTACTAATTGAAAAACAAGAGCAAATGTAAAAAGTTTACAAATACATATGAATAAAAGACGTGAAAGCAAGAACGTCCTAGCCAATAACTTATTATTATATATTTTATAAAACAGGTTCATTATTTAATTTTTTTATTGTTATTTAATCTTAACAGTAGAATCCAAACAGTTTTCTTTACCACTGACAGGCACTGAAGGAAACTTATTCTAATGTACCTATCTATGTTTGGAGCTTTGTTTTGGCTTCTGGATTCACATTTATATTTGACATAGATTTTGTTTTTGGTAGATGCTAGATAGCAGGTCTTTTTTTCTTGTTAACTCCTTGGCCACTATTATCTTCATAATGTAAACAGGATTCTCTAAAACCCAGCATGTTATTTAACTTGAGCCCCTCACAGTGGAAAGCTCTACTCTCTTTTAGGGCAAAAAATGTTTACACGGAAACAGTCTATTTCCATAAAATATTTCAACAAAAAATGTTATAAAAGGCTTAGCATGTTTTTTAAAGCTCTTCTAAGAAATGCAATCTTATTTCTAATATTGCTTTCAGAAAGTAATTCTATATTGAATTTCATTAAGGATTTATAAAGAATGCCACAACTCAAATTTACTGTGAAAAGTCAAAGGCGTTCCCAAAATCTGGAGAGCTATTATTTTAGGTATACTAACTCTTTTGGTGGGCAAGGGGAATTTAACATATGTGAAAACTAACTTTCATGCAACCCTCTTTTTTTTTTTTTTTTTTTAATGTCCTTACAGAAAAGCAAGGGCACATGAGAATACTCTTCCAGTTCTCTCAAATCCAAATGAGGAAATTTTGAAAAAGAAAATTGATAAAATAGAAAAGCATCAGGATAGTAACAAAAGATAGAGGCTTTCATTCACTGTGGCATTTTGTCTGGCCATAGGCTCAGAGAATGCAGCAATGAGGGTCAACCCAAGAGCCCTGGATTCAGTGCTATTCTACAGGGGAAAGTGAGTTCTAGTCTTAACTGTTGTAAACATCTTTTGCATAGCTTAAGGAGAAGGAAAAGAAGTTGTTGGCAAGCAATTCTCCTAGAAAAGTGATGATGTTAAAACACCCTATATCAAAGCCCACTCAGTTTCATCTCTTTTCCCAAAACTCTGGATGGAGTCTTACCTTGAATATCTGCAACTCCTCCAGTACTACCTCTTCCATATTCCACTTCTCCTTTGAAATGCTAACAACTTTTAGGACCGTTCCAATGTCTAAAAGAAAAAAAAATACATTACCCATAATCCTGCTATTTCTCCTTCAATGTTCAGTTGTAAGCATATTTCTAGCAACCTTCAGCTAACACCCTAATTTTTCTTTAAATACCTCGTTAAATAAAGCATGCAAGAAATAAAGCTTAATGTATATGATTCTCCCTTCCCAAAACATTCTAGTTTTTATTTCACAAAACACATCTTTATAAAGAAAATATTTATTTAAAAAAAAACACACATATGTTTAAAAGAGAAATTATTGATGTTATCTACATGAAGGAAACAGTAGCTCACTTATGTATTTTATACACATAAACATTATTGGTGGGCTAGAAATTAAAGTTTTGTTTAAAATTATTATAGTTTGCCGAAGCCAGTTTGGCTCAGTGGTAGAGCGTTGGTCTGCGGACTGAAAGGTCCCACCCAGGTTGGATTCCAGTCAAGGGCATGTACATTGGTTGCGGGCACATCCCCGGTAGGAGGTGTGCAAGAGGCATCTGGTTGATGTTTCTCTCTCATCAATGTTTCTGGCTCTCTATCCCTCTCCCTTCCTCTCTGTAGTAAATCAATAAAAATATATTAAAAAATATATAAAATTATTATAGTTTAAGACTATTAAAAGGTTAATAATATAAACCAAAAGCAACATTTTTGAAAAGATGCTTTAAGTAGGAATCTTATGTTGCAGTTCTATAAGGGAACACACAATTACAGAAAGACAACCTAAAGAACATTTTAGAAAAAAATAGTCCTATTTGCAAATTAACTTACACAAAATACTTGCTTTTAAAGTTCTAAGCACCATGGTTAAAGGGTATTAACATGTAATAATCCTGTTTGCACAAATCAGTCTAGATTATTTTCTCTGTTTTTCAACAACTCCGGAATCTTTAAAAATATTAATTATAAAATTTCCAAATGTCATGATTGAAAATCTATCTTAGCATCCCTATAATGTAATCAGAAAAAGTTAGATAGTACCACCTAGTGGCAAAGTGGCATTTATGGCATGGAAATGTTCAAAAGCTAGGAATGAGCTTTGGGTAGGCTGCAGAAACTAAGTGGCAAACTCATCAGAATTAGAGACACCTGATTATTTAAAGTTTTGATGTTTCAGTAACAATCTCTGTGGCATTGGGAACATCACTGTTTTCCTTGGCTTTAGGGTTACCACTGAAACACAATCAGGTTTAACTGGTTTCTGGAGAGCAATTGGAGTCTGCTACACACAGGATCCCTAGTAAATCCAACTTCTATAGAATTAATAGGTTTTTAGGATAAAATTATTCTAAACTTTTTCTGTATTTCTATTTCTTACTCCACTAAAAAGTTAATTGCTTGGAAACCTATTCATTTCTATCATTATGCAATGCTTGATCCATTGTATTACATACTAAGATGTAGTGCTTTTGTATTAATGATACATGTTTTATTTACTGCCATTAGAGTTCATGTGATACTATTAGATAATATTTTTTTGAAAAAACAGTTTATTGATTTTGTGAGTGTGTGTTTGTGTGTGTGTGTGTGTGAGAGAGAGAGAGAAAGAGAGAGAGAGAGAGAGAGAGAGGGCAACATTGAAGGGCTGCCTCCTACATGCCCCCTATTGGGGATGAAACCTGCAACCCTGGGCATGTGTCCTTGACTGGGAATCAAACCTGCAACTCCTGGTGCAGGGGACAATGCCCAACCAACTGAGGCACACTGGCCAGGGTGTAATATTTTTATTTCTGAGACCTGATAAATCAGCAATAGTTCTCTTTCTGGGGGAAAAAAAAAGTATTTTTTTTTTTCATTTTATAATTATTGAGTTGGCAGACAAAGGAATAAATAAATAAAACAGGTTCAATAATGAAAGTGATACAAAATCCACAAAATTCAAGAATAAGAAAAAAATATCTTCAAGAAGTTTCTACTTAAAGAACTTTACAAAGCAGTGCTTAACTATTTTTGAAAAGCCATCTTAACTCATCTTCAGTCACTGCTTCTCAAAACTGGGTGAAAGGATCCTTTGGGGAAGGGCTTATCAAATTTCTTGTAGGGAAAGGCAAATGTGATGTTTGAAGATAAAGAAACACTGCTTTGTCCTGCTCGTTTAATTTTAGTCCATAGTCATTCAACAAATAGATACTGGGAACCTACTGGACAGCTGGCACATTGCAGTCCTAATATACAAATATATTTTAAAATTTCAAATAAATATAAAAGGAGGCTGAAAGGCATTTAGTATTGTCAATTAAGAGCACGTGTTATGCAATTTTTTAAAATATATTTTTATTGGTTTTAGAAAGGATGGGAAAGGGAGAGAGAGAAACATCAATGATGAGAAATAATCATTGATCAGCTGCCTCCTGCACATCCCTTGTAGGGTCAAGCCCACAACCTGGGTATGTGCTCCTGACTGGAATCTAATCTTGGATCCTTCAGTTCACAGGCCTATGCTCTCTATCCGCTGAACCAAATATGTTAGGGCATGTTATGCAATTTTAAGAAATGCCAACTCCTGAGTGACCACCTGGAAAGAGCTGCATCTCTCTTAGTCTACAGAATTCCCCAGCAAGGTCATCTCCAAACTTCCCAGGTACTTAAAACCCAAGAGAAGAACTAATGAGAAAAGAGGTAGGGGTGGCTGGGACCGGTTTGGCTCAGTAGATAGAGCGTCGGCCTGCAGACTGAAAGATCCCGGGTTCAATTCCGGGCAAGGGCAGGTACCTTGGTTGCGGGCACATCCCCAGTAGGGGGTGTGCAAGAGGCAGCTGATTGATGATTCTCTCTCATTGATGTTTCTAACTCTCTATCCCTCTCTCTTCCACTCTGTGAAAAATCAATAAAATATATTTAAAAAAAAAAAAAAAGAGGTAGGGGTGGGTGTGGAGAGGATAAAGTGGTAACTTTCCTATAAAGATTGAGGCACTTGAACACAACAAAAAACTACTGACTAGATATTAACTAGTAAGTACTCTTGTTGGTTTTGATCAATAAATAGTTTTGAAGTTTATATTTTATTTGTGTAATAATGAAAAATGCCTTGGAAGGAAAGCATAATCTTGTTCTAAGGTACCTGTTCCAAGAAACATTACATCATACTGGCCATCTTCTGCCACCACGTGATCCACCACAATCTGCGTCAGCCTGTAATCCACATTGATTCGCTTGAATGTTGGTCCTCCTGCAACTGGATATACTGACTTATACATCACAGGGTGCCGCTTGATGAAACTGATGACGTCATCCGGAAAATCTCGGGTGGATTTGATCAGTGGGTCATAGGTTTTGCTTGGACACTGAAAAAAAAAAGGGGGGGGAGGGGGAGAGTATTATTCATGCACCTGAGACATTTCTACTTTATTCTAATACAAAAGCTTGTCACTGAAAATATTAAAGGAATGGTGAATAGGATCAATGTAGAATCACTTGTACTTAGAAATAAATGCAGTTGACCTCATATATATCTGAATCTAATCTTCTCTCCCAAAAATATTATGAATTATACCTATTTACCTGTATTTTCTGAAGTTTCCACAGCAAGCTTTGTTCCTATAAAAATGTTTATTTCTGCAGAAACCGGTTTGGCTCAGTGGTAGAGCATCGGTCTGTGGACTGAAAGGTCCCAGGTTTGATTCCGGTCAAGGGCATGTAGGGGGTGTGCAGGAGGCAGCTGGTCAATGCTTCTCTCTCATTATCGTTTCTCTCCCTTCCTCTCTGTAAAATATCAATAATATATATATATATATATGTTTATTTCTTATAAAAATACATAAAATTTGAGTCGAATAATTTTTAAGAAAATAATCAGCAAACATGGGAATCTGAAAGCCATTATTTTCCATTTATTTTAATTAATTTAAGATTTCATTTTTAAATTCACACCATATTTATAACTGGTGTGAAAATTAATACCGTGAACAACTCAACAGCTCTTCCCCTAAAAGATCTGTGGAACTTTCTCACTTCTGTCTAAAATTGCCTGAGTGCCTTTTAGTGTCCACCAGTTCAATAGTTAGCATATCCTGCCCCCTGGTGGAAAAGTGAAACATTCATACTCACAGAAATTAAGTGATTTGCTGTTTAACCAAAGAACAGGAATAATTACTTTTTAAGTACATATCTCCACTCCTGTTTTCTACATTTATTTTATGACTTTGGTTATTGTAATTTAGTAAGTTACTGCAGAATAATTATGTTACCATATTTGAATTCTTACTGAGCTAAGGCATTCTTTTAGAATGGCAAACTTTGGCTACTAGTACATGACACAGAAGAAAATGAGTGACATTGAGCTTTTAAGAATGTGCTACTTTTCCCATATTTTAGTTTTTTGACAAATTGAGAATAATTTCCACTGAACTGAACCATTTATATTAGGCATTAATTAGAATCCTGTCAAAAGCCCAAAATATATCAGACTTCTTAATCAAAGCATCAACAGGGTCATCCTCAGGGACTAAAGATACTGACAGAGCTTTAAAGTCACAATATATGACCTTGGCCCAATGTTATACCAATGGCTCACTAAATTAGAAAAATACCACAAAGTTGTACAAAATAAACCTGTTAATGATTTTTTAAAATTAATTTGAAAATACCTTTATCTTACATACACACACACACAATCCCTTGTATAACTATTCTCAATAAACTGATGTTTTCTTAATATCCATTTATGTGTCCCAGGTCTGCACCAAAGAGAATAGAAATACCCTAGAATATCAGTCATTTGGTTATTACTTAGCATAGTCTTAACTGAAGGTTGGTCTAAAGATCTGAGTTTGTGTCTGCAGTCACTGCTTCCAGCACTTAGCCTCCAGTGCACTGTCAACTCTATAATGGGAGGAACGCCATATTAAGTAGATTAAGCTGCAACTCAGAATGGATATGGAGCTCAAGTGATTCAAAGCTCTTGCCCAATTAGAGGCTGCCTGTTTGAGGCTCAGCTAAAGGCAATTTATAGCAGGCTTACAGCTTACAGTGCCTGCAGTACAATCTGGTTGGTCTCCCATTAAAATCAAACAAAAGCAAAATTCTGTCTGCATATTTTTTAAACAGCCCTCCAACTTCAGGGGGGAGGGGAAAAATCCCTTTGGACTTTGCAGCTGTAGTTATGCAGTAGCCAACATTTCAAAAGAAACAATATGATGATATTGATGCTATAGTTTTTTGGTATCACATTTTCAAATAATTCAGGTTTTTAATATGAAAAGGTATAAATGGGTGAAAATATGAATACTTAGCAATGAAACAAATATGACATTTTTCCTTGTGTCTCACCACTGACAAAAAGGTCTTAGTGTAGTAAAATCTAGAAAGAAAGAAGGAAAGAAGGGAAACCTGGTTTCTATTGACCACTATAAAATGATCTTTGAAAATGCGTGTATTTTTTTTTTAATGGCAGCTTTTCCTCGTGGCATGCTGCCAGTGTTTGTATAAGATCTTTTTCCTCCAGGTTGCTCCGTGCGATCTCGCAGGTCCAGGGCCCCACTGTGCTTTTACAAATGAAAGTGATTTGGTAGAGTTGCTCCCTGAGGTTTAAGATAGTACAGTTTGAACCAAATACTGTTATTACAGGACGTTAAAAACCAGAGGAATTCTTCCTTTGATATCGTATAGCTGTGGAGCACAGGGATCTAAAAATAGCTTGACGCCCCAACAGGTTTGGCTCAGTGGATAGAGCCTCGGCCTTCAGACTCAAAGGTCCCAGGTTTGATTTCGGTCAAGGGCATGTACCTTGGTTGCGGGCACATCCCTAGTAGAGGGTGTGCAGGAGGCAGCTGATTGATGTTTCTCTCTCATCAGTGTTTCTAACTCTCTATCCCTCTCCCTTCCTGTCTGTACAAAATCAATGAAATATATTTTTAAAAATCAAAATAACTTGAGATGCCAAGCAAAGGATGCAGGTAAGAGAGAAACAGGAAAGAGAAACTCCATACAGGAAAAAGAGATTGTGTGGGAAAATGGTCCATCTCAAGCCAATGAGCATATTCAACTATTTTCCTTTTGAAAATCCTATAAAGTTTTTCTATTGCAGCATTACATTCCGGGTATGAAAAATCAAGTGGATTTTTCTCTGTGTGTACATACTTTTAAATTCTATGCGTTAACATGGTCCATCTGAATATACTGTAGAGGTCCATTTATTCCTGCCTCCAGCTTTCTATCATTGGCCTGACTTCCGCTAATTTAGCTCCTGTGACTGTACGAAATAAGTCAAGGAGCTTATCTGTGCAAAATGAAAAGGGCAATTTACCAAAGTTTAGAATGTCATTATCTTGCTGGAAATAATACCGCAAAAAGTGTAAAATGAAAAAGAGACCTGCCTAGACAAACCGTGAGATGAATGGGTAAACCCAACAGCCTCAGGCCATGGTTCAGGGCCTATCTCTCATGGCTGGCGGCCACAGCTGGCTAGGTGTGATCATGTTATGCTTGGCAGAGCTGAGTGTTTGTCGAGGGCCTTTAGTAGTGCAGTGGGAAGCAATGGATAAGAGGAGAAAAATGGGTTTTATCCAATGAGGGAACTTTGCCCCTTGGCCAGGCACCAGACAGCTGTAACAAGTTTTCTCCCCCTAACGCTTCAGGCTGTTCTCTGCAGGTTGCAGTTTCCTTTCAAACAAGTCAGAGGAATGACTATGTGAGGGAAGAATTGGCACAAGAAAAAACTAAAACAGGCTTTCATTTTAGCAAACTGGGAGAAATAAATTGCAATGCAAGAAAAGAATCTGATTTTTATTTATAAAGCAAAAAAAAAAAAAAATGCAGATTTAATAAGGACCATCCTATTCCCAGAGTCAGTTTTTAACAGCTATCGATAGGAAAAACCCTATATTTAATATCAGAGACAGAAAGGCCAGGGGTACAAATACAGAGAGAAATCTCTCCTCACCCCCCGTCTCTTAAATATATTTTTATTGATTTAAGAAAGGAAGCAAATAGGGGGAGAGAGAGAGAAAAAAATCAATGATGAGAGAAGATCACTGATCAGCTGCCACCTGCATACTCCCTAATGGGGTTCATGCCTGCAACCCAAGCATGTGCCCTTGACCAGAATTGAACCAGGGACCCTCCAGTCCACAGGCCGATGCTCTATCCACTGAGCCAAACCAGCTAAGGGCTCTCTCTCTTTTTTCCTTTCCTTTAGAGGAATTGTGACACCAGAAAAAAGAAAACCTTTTTGAACACAGAGAGTAGTCTGGAGACCCTCACTGTAAAAGTGCGTGTCGGCTCTATGGAAAAGAAAGTTAAAATCAATTCCCTCTCATCATTTCCAAGAAACACAGCCTATATACACAGCTAAGGGAAATGAAAGTGATGTTTTGTCTTATATCCTCTTCAATGTAATCAGTGTTAAGAACTTGGAATCAGGGAGGCCCATATTCCAGTCCTGACTCTGCTTCTCCATCCTAGAATCAAAAACCTAAGAGGAATAGAATTAAAGATATCCTCAGTAATTTAGAGAAATGATAACAAAGTAAATGTCATTAAGAGGAAGGCCATGCAGTGAACAAATTTTGAAAAGAAAATGAAACTGTGAAGGTTTATATGATAGAGAGGCATCTAGGAGCCAGTGATGTATAAAATGAGACTTCTCTACAGTTCGCCAAATATTTTACATTAATTGGGAAAGTTTTACTTAAAACAAAACAAAGCAAAGCAAACTACAAAATGTTAGCTATATTCCTCAGGTGCATAAATGAAAAGGTAGCATGAGACACTGTGAGAAAATTATTCCATATTTTTCAGTCCCTTTTTGTAAAATTATCATAGTCTGCCACTCCACAAGTCGAAAGGAAGTTTAGGAAACTTCCTTTGGTTTTTTTAAATTATGTATTTTTTCTTTGGTCAGGGATGCTTATGTTTGCAAATTAACCTTCATACATCTCTTATCTAGAATATAATCAAGAAAACCCTTATTTAATGGGGCCAATCTAGGTTACAACTCAGATCTAATTCAGGGGATTAATGAAGGCTTAAAATTCTAATAATTGCCGAAACCAGTTTGGTTCAGTGGATAGAGCATCGGTGTGCGGACTGAAAGGTCCCAGGTTCGATTCTGGTCAGGGGGCATGTACCTTGGTTGCGGGCACATCCCCGGTAGGGGGTGTGCAGGAGGCAGCTGATCGATGTTTCTCTCTCATCAATGATTCTAACTATTCCTCTCTCTTCCTCTCTGTAAAAAAATCAATCAATATATATATATATATATATATATATATATATATATATATATATTTTAAATTCTGAGAATCATCAGGTCTCTAAGAACATGCCATTGTGCAAAAACCAAATA